GAAAGAGTGGGCAGGGCCCGTACATCTAGTGGCTGGACTGGAGGAGACATAGATGTTCAATTTTCTTCTCTCCTGTTTCTAGGAGCTCCTACAGGCAAAACAGGATCTTCAGGATCTACTGATTGCCAAAGAGGAGCAAGAAGACCTCTTGAGAAAGCGGGAGCGTGAACTCACTGCCCTGAAGGGAGCCTTGAAGGAAGAGGTTTCTAGCCACGATCAGGAGATGGACAAACTAAAGGAACAGTACGATGCTGAACTGCAGGCCCTGAGGGAGAGTGTGGAGGAAGCAACCAAGGTGAGGTAGCGAAACCATAGAGGACGTAGGGACGGGGCAAGAGAACCTGCCTGAGGAACAGATGAAAGGGTACGACCACTTCCCCCACACCAATGCAAATTGTAGTCCTTCCTTTAATTCCAGAGCGAAACTTGCTTTCATCAGATTATGGACATAGAGCTTGTTAACAAAGACTGTAAACTCAGTAGTTCTGCTGTTGACTTTTTTAAGTCTATAAATGTAAACATTGTTAAGGATATTGATTATGTGCTATTGAAGAGGTGAGATTTAGAGACCCTAGAAGGAAATTTGATATTCTGAAGCCACAGAGTGGAGAGCTGTATTCTTCTAGGCTTCCCTAAAGGAGAGCATTGTGTGACTCTAACAGGAGCAGAATTGTAGATGGGACCCAGATTTCTGGAATCCTTCACCCTTGCCCTAGCCTGTTCCTTTTGATTTTGTGCAGCTTTAGGTCAGACAATTCAAGTTCTTTTCTCAGTAAAGCCATAGAGGGTTAATTGGCTGAATTGTCCAAACCCTTCCAAGATAATTTTTCTCTTAATTGAATTCTTGGCTCCTACAAATAGATTCTAAATTATGTTGAAGTCTTGGTACAGGCCTCATGTCGACTGTTGAAGAAGAAAAGAAGAATATTTTGAGGGGGAAAATGCTTTGAAATATCATGCCATCTTTAGGGAAATAGGGGAACTACAGAGTATAAATGTTTCAGTTTGTGTGATACATAGGTTAAAAATGATGAAAAAGGAACGTTTGATATTGTTTATCTGTGATGATTACAGTGACAGCTCAGAGCTAGTAGGCCCTCTCTCCCCTAAGCCCCATGGTGATTCACTGATTTTCAATTATGGCATGGTAATTGCAAATGACAAGAAGTGAAAGATGGGTTTGTTTGGTATAACAATAAAAAGTCTGGGAAATAGTCTGTTTGGGGTTATTATAACTTCAAGACAGTTTTAAAAAGCCTCTTGTTGATTTGCCTGTCTTCACTTATTTTTTGATATTTGATTTAATTTGAATGAAAGACGCAAAGCTGATTTAATTTTCAATGCTTTGAGAGGACATGTCTGTTTTTTGCATCTCGTTTCATTTTCCTGAGATAGCCCAGGTGTCCTTGCTATTGATTTCTATGTGCTGTGGCTTCATCAGGTTCTTGTCAATAGGCTAATTCTCCTCTGGATTCATCATTTCTTTATAACCCTTAGGTCTTCCATCAGAACTCAAGTTAACGGGACATATAATTTGGGTGGCTCATTTAAGAGTAGTTGAGGAACCAGCAGTTAGTGTAATGGCTATGTCGTTGGACTCCCATGTAGTCGACCATGGTTTGAGTCCCGGACCCATTGGCTTAAACTCACGCCGGGTGCGTATGCGTGCGTGCCCAAGATCCTGAGAGGAGAATGGAGAAGGGATTGTGGTGTGGCCATCCCTCCCCCACCTAGGGGGGGGTGGTTTCTTGCTTTCTATCTCTCTGTCTCTCTCTAGCGAGCACACATGCCCTATAGCAAAAACCCCTCAGAAAAAAAAAAAAAAAGAGCAGTTGAGAACAGTGTTTGGGCATATATTAGGAGTGATTTGATTATAAGGAAAATCAAATTTGTGCCACACTTATGATGGAAGATATGTGGATTTTAGGTTTGTTTATTTTTTCCATGAGTGAGAGACAGAAAAAGAACAAAGAGACAGTCAGTGTGGTCTTGACACCATAACCCAACCTAGCTTCAGCCAGGCCAGGATCATGGATGTGTGTGTGCCCCACATACTCAAACACAGAACCTTCCGTGTGGGTCAGCCTTGTGGGGTGTAGCATTTTATCGCTGTGCCATTGTCTTACCCTCTGAGGGAAGATATTTTATTGGAAGATTCTAGGTCCTCTATTGTCACAGATACGTAAGTGGGAAAAGGAACTATGGAAGGCAAAAGAGTATGTCTTTGTTGTATGAAATTGAAATCAATACTTAGGTTACTACATTTTGACCCTTTCAAAGATCTGCATTGTATGTTAGCTCGCGATATTTTCATCATGCCAATTCAAGCAAGATAACTGCATTGACCCAAATCGGTCTGTGGAAGAAATAACAAGTGAGCTAGTTAAGACACGTACCGTTGGCAAAGCAAGTGGAGTTTCTGAGCACTAGGAAGCTAGCACAAAGGAGTTCACCTATGGGGCGTGGGCCTTCCAAGGGCTCTTTGTGCAGGGCACAGTTACACTGCTGCCAGCATCTTTTACACGGCTGCCAGCATCTTTCCCTAAAAGACCACACTGGATCATGTCTGCCTCTGTTTAAATAACTTGCAGGGCTCCCTATTGCCCCAGGCTTAAGTTCCAGATTGTTAACATGATAGGCAATAGAAGTCCCTTTTCTGCCGAATCAAATCTCTAGAAAACCCCATATTCTTTTAGCCCTGTCAACTCTTGGTACTTTTCAACCTGACCAGCCTCTTCTTATCCTTCAAGACCCTCCTCAAATATCCTCTCCTCTGCAAAAGCACCCTGGATATCTCCACTCGCTTTGGTGGAGTTAGTCGTGCTTTTCTCAGGGTTTCTGTTGGCCATCCCAATCCTGTAGGTGGTCTCTTACTCTGTTGACATGTATCATCACATCTGCTTCTTCCCTTAGACCTTGAGCTTTGCAAGCACAAGAGGCATTTTTCTTCTTTTTCTTTTCTTAGAGAAAAGCAACAAACTCAGGTACCTTTAGGGCAAGAAGGGGAAGATAAATAGGTGAAGCTCTGTGTGTGTTTTGGGGTGACAGTAAAGTATGGTGGGGATTGTGGCAAACTGAAGAGCATATCCTTTGCTGTAGGGGATCAGTTGCTTCTCTTCTCCAGTTGAAAGGTGCTGCTGAAGGAATTCTGGGTCCATGTTGCTGGATCTTTCAGTTTGTCGAGATAAACCAGGTATCTCAATGTTGATGTGAAATCTGCTGACTTTTAAGTGTTGCTTCAAATTTAAAAAGAAAAAAAAGTCATGCAGGCCAAACATCTACAGGTCAGTGGTCTGTGACCCCAGCACAGTACCTTGTACACATCATATCTGTGCAAAGTCTGATGTGTGAAAGTTGATTGAGGCCAAATCCCCTTCCCACCTGGGTTTTACATTCAGTGGGCACATAGGAAGTCTTTGAGGAACTCTGCTATTACTCTGAATTTCTTTGCCTTGCTTTTGAGTTTCCTTGCAGTTTTTTCAAGAAGATCATGATTGTGTTCTTACACTTCATTACCTTTTTTTAAAAGAATTATTTCACTTTATTTATTCATTCTTTTTTTTTTTTTTTTTTATTTGAAAAGAGAGAGAGCGAGAGCGCGCGA